CCGGGGTAGACGCATACCTGCCGCCTTACACCTTATTATACCATTTTCGCGGATCCTCATCGCTGCCCGGATGGCGAGGAGAATGCGACGTCCGCATGGTTGTCCGTATCGTGGAGCGAGGTGAGGCTGCGGGTCATCTATATTTTTTTTAATTTCTTGGATGTTAACATTTATAGTTGTGTGTGTTTGTGTGCGTGCGTTGGTGGCGGGTTGTGTGCGGATTTTAATTAGAAGGGAACGGGAGGAGAAAAAGCAATAAAAGCAAACACTCACCCAAGCCCTAACCCCCCCTATCAACCCTAAGCTATAGCCCGTCGCAAAGTCCTCGCTCCTCCCTGGCCCAACCCCCGGGCTCTCAGATCGACCGGGCATTTCCAACCGCCCCAATTGCGTTCGACTCCCGCCCCCAATGCCAAAATAACCATTATGACTATTATTACTATTATTGTGATGCCCGGGACTGGTAGCGCCGGCCCCTGCCCCTCGATTATTACCACCGAAGCCGAACCCGCCGACGCTGCCGTCCACGCTGTTTCGCGCCGGACTCGAGGGCCGGCTATTCAGCCAAAACTGGCGCAGCTCCTTGCCCAGCTCCTGGCCTGTGGCGGACCAGTTATTCTTGATGCTATCGCGCAGCTCGGCGACGTGGCGTTTGATGTCGAGCTCATTCTTCTTGAGCCAGGAGACGTTGAGTTCTTGGCGCGAGGTGCCGCGTTTCAGTTGGCGGGTGATGTATTTTTCGTAGTCGCGGACGATGCTGTTGCGGGTTGGGGGAAAAGAAATCTGTTAGTTATATAGATATAATACGAGAGCAGAAAAAGACAAAGAAAATTAAAGTAATATTATATATAATGTAACATGAGGAAGGAAGGAGATAGAAGAAGACATACTGAGTAATAATGCCCGTCGTACTGACACCCTCCGTCCGCTGCGTAACAAGGAACTTGCCCTGCGCCTTGATGGGAGCGTAGATGTCATCGCCCTCCGCGGCTCCATATGGCAAATCGTC